CATGGCGCCATTGGAATGTGACCAACAGAAAAACGGAAAATTATACATCGGTTGTGCCATGAATTTTTGCGTGTGTTTCTTGAGATCGCTGTATTCGCAGCCTTTCAAAACCTTTGTTATAACGCACCGGTTATAACATCGAATAAACATTCTTTTTTTGCAAGCAAATCTGTCTCTGTTTATTCAGGTCTAACGTTCGCCTCCTGATCAGCATGGGCAGTTTTTCGGCTCCCTCGCTAGAAGCTCGGGGTATGGGGAAAATGGCGTATGCTCAACCACCTTGTCCAACAGGGCCAATTTTCTTTTAATAATCTCCATATCAACAGCGCACACCTACTCTACACATACGCTCCCTGCCAATTTACCTTCATTATCCGTCGAAGCCAGCATTGACGTACGCAGTTCGACCATCGTTCTTGCTCCTTCATTAGAAAGGAGGCAAAATATGGACAAGCTTTTGTGGAAAAAGCTACTCCATTCCCAGCTCAGATATTCGGCAGGCTATAAGCAGCATTTGAAGCTAGGGCGATCCTCGTATCTACCTCTAATTGAAGATGTTGCAGTCGAGATACTTAAACTGATCAACCTGCTGAAATGCTTTATCTGCGCATTCTACATGTAGATGAGGGGCGCCGAATGGGTTCCTCATAACTTGTGATTTCCGAGCGTTAAGCAAGCGGCCAGATTTCACAGCTGTGTTCCAAACGGAAGTCATCAGTCGTAGATCCTTCTTCCTGTACAACTCATCAGGATAATATCATTAGCGTAGTCAAGGTCAGCAAAATACCCAGTTGGATATCTTGAACTGTGTCTTCCGGCAGGGTCAACAATGTTGCAGAGAAGAAAAGTCGCAAAAGCAAGTTCTAGAACCGATGCACAGATGTCAACATCAATGAACTCAACTCATTCTTCTTGTGATTTTAGGCCTGCGAGGAAACAATGTCGCCATCGACTGTGCCACCCTTTGCTGAGGCTAAATGTTTGTAAATAAGCGAAATGGAAGTTTACAGATGTTCCAGCGAACTTCGACAGCGACCCGCCTCGATGGTCTGCATTCCGCGACACTGAAGTATGACACTCAGCAACTAAGTAACATGCTGGTAGGTATTCCTGCATTAAAAAAACACTTCCGGAATTTTCGAAAGAAATTCGAATAAAGCCAATATCTAAGAGTATTAGCCCTATCTGCTTCGGAAAACTGAAGACTAATCGCCGCCACCAAACAATTTCAAATCCCTGAAAAATTTTACGAATGCCATCCATTGCCAAGAAAGTCGACCCTCACGTTGACAAATACCAATTTGAACTTGTCCATAATCGTGGCACTCTGGATGCCATGGCAACCTTCAACTAAATCAGTCAAAACCTGGATGCCAGTCAAAGCATTCTAGGTTTGATCGATATCAGCCAATGGTACAACATAATCTCGCGCGACCAACTGTTGGAAAGTATGACCGAGATCAGGGTCCATCCCTAAATTATGTGCCCGTTGTTCGGTTACTTCGCTGACCTCCGCTCGTTCGCTCGCGTTGGCTGTCTGAAATCGATGACATCGCCTAAACAGTCGGTGTACCACAAGGGTCATGCCTATCATCAGTACAGTTTGCGCTCCTTATGAAGGCTACCGCCTGCGGTCCTGGCTTGGTACCTGTGTCAAGAACGTCGGCAAGGCACTGTCATTTCACTTCCGGCTGAGAAGAGTGCGCTGATGCCAAAAATTTTATAAGAATTCTGATCCTTCAGGTTGACCTGAATCCCACCGAAGTCATGCATGAGATCATAAAGAAAACCGTTAGCCTTACGCTAAAACTTGAACAAATTATCTTAAACAATAGGAACTACCAGCTCTATAATGACCTGATAAGTTGCAACTCCCAGTCAACAAACACAAAGAGCTATTTAAACTAATTTTCTGTCAAGCAAAGGCCCGCAGAAGATCCATTCTGTCTTCCTTTTATCGCTAGATGTCTCGTCAACCCGCAAAAAAGACAAACATGCTTCGAGAAATGCGGTTGATATCGTACTGTTTTTGTTTCGTCTTCGCCTGTCGAATATGTACTGTACATTACGACTATAGCGCTCTTTCAGTACTTTTTTCAATGTTTTTCGTACGTGCTTCTGAGTAAGTTGAAACTGTCCCATGTGAACAACTCACGCAAACAG